CGTTGCGGATCTGTTTCCCTCTCTTCCCATAGCATTTTAAGATTGTAGATACCTAAATCTAATCGTCATAAACAGATCCCACACTCCGAACAACTCGCCTTTACTACTTCCTTCACCACTTCCTACATCGCGGACCTGTTTCCCTCCCTTTCCGTAGCATTGTAGGATTGCAGATACCAAAATCTAATCGTCATAAACAGTTCCCACACTCCGGACAGCTCGCCTTGACTACTTCCTTCACCACTTCCTACGTCGCGGACCTGTTTTCCTCAGTTTCCATAGCGTTTTAGGATTGCAGATACCTTAATCTAATCGTCACAAACAGTTCCCACAGTCCGGGCTGCTTGTCTTGACTACTTCCTTCACCACTTCCTACGTCACGGACCTGTTTTCCTCCCTTCCCATAGAATTTTAGGATTGCAGATAGCCTACCTTAATCTAATGGTCACAAACAGTTCCCACAGTCCGGACTGCTTGTCTTGACTACTTCCTTCACCACTTCCTACGTCACGGACCTGTTTCCCTCCCTTCCCATAGCATCATAGGATTGCAAATACCTTAGTCTAATGGTCACAAACAGATCCCACACCACGAACAGCTCGCCTTAACTACTTCCTTTACCACTTCCTAAGACGTGGACCTGTTTCCTTCCCTTCCAATAGCATTTTAGGATTGCAGATGCCTTAATCTAATCGTCATAACAGTTCCCACACTCCGGACAGCTCGCCTTGACTACTTCATTCACCACTTAATACGTCACGGACCTCAAGCTAGTGTCGTCATTTGATTATATTAAATGGTCCATACCGTTTCTGTTCTTATATCTGTGAAATAATGCTATCAGCTATTTCTTTATCTAGTGCATTTAAAAGTCAACAGCTGATCATATGTCTTTGTTTATGTGTCAAATACTGCTTCCATAAGGATTAAATTGAAACTTTGAGACCCAGTGGGGCGGATTCCTGAGAGACTTTTTTAACACCATATAGATGTTGGCACTCACCGATGTGGTCTTCATCACCATGCAAAATTTGAAAACAATTGATTCAGCCGTCTAGGAGGAGTTTGCGTATTACGAAATGCATAAGAGTCGACGTATAAGAGCTTCGCTCGCTCCGCTCAATTAGTCAATGGTAATACTTATGAAGTCAAACAGGGTGAAGCCCGTGGGTAACAGCTAGTTAGTGTAAATTAAATTTCAAAGTATTCATCTGTTCAAATGTAAACAAACAGTTTCTCCCTAAGAAGCCCTGATGAAAGATTTTTTGTTTGATAGGAAATCTACAGGCCATAACTTATCCAATGACACCTTAAACATGGTCATCGGATGTGTGACAGCTTCAAAACAATTATCTAAAAACTCATGTTGGCCTATTAAATATGTATGGAGAAATAATACAGGTATAACATCAGGTCCCTTTTCTGAAATATGATTTTTACGACATGCTTCGATAAAACAATTATTTGAATTAAAACTATCGTGAGTTAAGACAAAAATTGGTTTTGCCTCCAAAGAAGACATTATAAGCTTTATTTAATTATTTTGATACCAAAACTGTTTCTTAAATAAAAAAAAACAAACTGTTTTTATGCGTATTTTAAATGTTCAAAATCCCGTAGTTTTTGATCAAAATGACCCTTTTCCATAACATCATTTCAAAGTCCTATAACTTAAACAAAAAACAATCGTAGATGCATGGGACTTGCACCAAGTGATTCAGAATTTAATAAGGAATTGAAATATATTATAGGCTATATATAACTCAAAATCGAAAATCCCCGACAAGAGGTCTCTTTTGCTTTCCACATCATATAATGTTTTCCCACCTTATTTTCCAAAGGTTTTTTCTTACTTTTCATTGAAATGGCGACCATACAAAGTGGTACCTATTTTAAGCCAGCAAGTATGAGTGTAGGATGAGTGGTGCGATCTTGTAGTCTTGTTAGTGACTAAGGCCAACATATTCCTTAGACACAGCTGTGTTAATCAATAGCCGGTACAGCTAATGGCAACTAAGGGACCTACAGTTTATAGTGGAATCGGAACCACATTTTTGCCTTAGTATTAATAAATTGGTTTTTGTACTATTTTACTAAGAATTAAGTGAATGCACTGTTTTATGTCATAACTCAAACTCAACTAACTTTATTTACCTTTTTACAAACATAGAATAACAAATAAACATATGATAATAATTAATAGAAATTAACAGGTGTTATGAAATAAACTGTTCTCACAACATCCTCCCTTTTAAGTTTGAAAGTTCTTCAACCAGCTTGGTTTGTGTATATTTCTCTTTGGACGGTTGTATGGTTCTGTTTGATGTGTATTCGCTGACAAATTTTGTTCACTGTTTTCCTCTCTTAAATAAGGGGCAAGTTTGAGGTGGAATCGATTTCTTCTCACATTCCTCTTATCAGTTTCAACAATATATGAACGAGGGCTGTCCAGGATTTTCACAATTTTGCCATGTCTTCTAAGGTCCACAATCCAAACTGGGTCTCCTATATGAAGAGGATTGAGAGTTTGCACTTTGTGCCTTCTATCATAGTTGTGTTTGTACTTCTCACGATATGTTTCTTCTCTCCCTTTAAGATCCTTTAGATCTGGTTTTCCACAAAGCAAATGTTCTGTCTGAGGCAATGTGCTCCGTAATCGCCTGTTCATAAGAAGCTGAGAGGGACTGAACCCATTCCAGAGGGGTGTCGTTCGATAGGCTAGAAGCGCTAAATAAGGGTCTTCCACATTTTTCTTTAGAATCATTTTGGCGATTTTCACTGCCGCTTCAGCCTCTCCATTGCTTTGGGAAAATTTTGGGCTACTTGTTATATGCTTGAAGCCATAAACTTTGGAAAATGTCTTGAAATCTGAATGTTCAAGGACTTGAAATTGAGACCCACAGTCAGACCTAAATTCAAATTCAAATTCAAATTCACTTTCAAATTCACTTTATTGTCACATAAAAACATTTGTACATAGCAAAGCTATTAAACTGGTGACATTGTCAATTCAATATAAACCTAAAATACAATTAAGTTACAGAACATTTTTGTCTGACTCTAAAACAACGATTACATATAACAATGCTGCTTAATTTTGTAAAAAGTCACTTACAGAGTAAATTACTTGGTTTAAAAGATAACTTTTTAGAGTATTCTTAAAACTCTTTAAACGGATTTGGCTTTTAATGTTTGTCGGTAGATTATTAAAGAACTTCATACCCATGTAACTAGGGCCCTTTTCATAGATTGTTAAGTTATGTATTCGGTATTGAAAATTGTCTTTGCACCTTGTGTTGTATGCATGTAAATGCTGCTGTCCACAAAGAAGATCAAAATTCTTCTGAATGAACAGTAAGCATGAATATATATAGAGAGAGGGAAGGCTCAATAATCCTAACTGTTTAAAGATTGGCTTGCATGAGACTCGTGGCCGCGAAAATGTCATAATGCGAACAATTCTTTTTTGAAACTTGAATATTTTTTTCCAGTCAGCTGATGAACCCCATAGCTCAATTCCATATTTCATAATGGAATAAAAATAGGCAAAATAAACCATTAATCTAGTTTCCAAATCAGTTCTATCCCTTAACACAAGCATTTGGAAACAAGCAGAATTCAGTTTATTACCGAGTATTGTTATGTATTTTTTCCAGTTTAAATTTTGGTCAATTGTTAATCCCAAAAATGTATTCTGTATTTTAGATGTAATTTCAGTATTTAAAAATTCAACTGCAAATGTTGTAGGGTCATTACTTTGTGCTGTTTGAAATTTCATCAGATTTGTTTTTTCACAATTTAGTTTTAGTCCATTAGTACGAAACCATACTTCAAGTTCCTCCATAGCATTGATAGTAAGTATTTTAAGCTCATGTACACTTTGAGCCTTAAGCAGGGCAGTGGTGTCATCTGCATATAAAATGAGGTTTGTATTAATGTTGCCATCAAGATCATTTATATAAATTAAGAACAATATTGGGCCCAGGATTGAACCCTGGGGAACACCAACTGAAATCTTTTGCCAATCTGATTGAAATTTTAATGAATCTCTTTCTATTACAACTCGTTGCTTACGGTTACTTAAGTATGAACAAAGCCAAGAAATTGCAGTTTTTGAGAAATTATATTTTTTTAACTTTTCTAATAGAATCTCATGCAATACACAATCAATTAATAATTTCTTCCTAATTTCAATCCTAATTTCTTCTGGAATGCCGTGTCGACAGAAAAAGGCTTTGCATCTCATTATTACTTCTCGTGATGTTAATGACTCTAATTCAGCTATCTCAAAATATCTGGAGTAATAATCTGTCACAGTCAAAAACCAAACGCCTTCAAGTTTGAACAAATCCATCGCAAGTGTTTTCCATGGCCTGTCAGGGAATTGTGTGGGAAGCAATGGTTCATGACTGTTCCTTGAATGTTTAATACAAGTAGGGCATGATTTCACCATACTTTCAATGGCTGAAGAAATTCCTGGCCACCAGACTGACTCTTTTGGACGTAAACGACACTTGGTGATTCCAAAATGACCTTCATGTACTCTTTGAAGTGCCCAAGACTGCAGAGCTGGCGGAATTACAAGTCTTGAACCTCGTAGTATCATCTCATTATCAACACTTAGCTCATCCTTAACTGAGTTATACGGTTTTAGGTCATCTCGTAATGATGTCTTAGAAGGCCAACCTTGGATGATTATTTTTTTCAGTTCACGTAAAGTCCGATCTTTATTTTGTTCCTCCAATACTTTAGCAACTATGCAGTCGTTTATATCAATGGACGACAAAACCATTTGAACAAACGCTTGAGTTTCTTCTTCTAACTCACGGTCATCAGTACCTGAAAATGGGAGAGGTGCTCTTGAAAGAGCATCAGGAACTAGAAGCTGCTTTCCAGGAATATAAGTAATTGAAAAATCATATCTCATGAGACGCAATCGAATTCTTTGAATTCTTGGAGACAATTCATCAAGATGTTTGGATTTCAAAATTTGAAGTAGTGGTTTGTGATCTGTTTGTATTGTTATTCTCTTGCCAATAATAAATTCTTGAAACTTTTCACATGCCCAAGCAACAGCTGTAGCCTCCCTCTCGATGTTTGCGTAGTTTTTTTCAGAAGGAAGAAGGCTTCGGGATGCAAATGATACTGGTCGTATAGAACCATCATCTTGAACTTGAGAAAGAGTTGATCCTAGTCCTTGAAGCGAGGCATCACATGAGATAATTGTTTCCCGATTTACATCGTAAATGGCTAGGCAAGGAGAGTTAGTCAAAATGAGTTTTATTTCATCAAAGGCCTTCGCCTGCTCTGGACCCCATATCCATGGAACGTTAGCTTGAAGTAGTGAATTCATTGGGGCCAAAATCTTAGCTTTGTCAGGAATAAACTTACCAAGAAAGTTTACCATCCCATTAAACCTTTGAAGTTCTTTTACGTTTTTTGGGCAGTCCATTTTGAGAATGGCGGAAACCTTTTCCTTATCAACAGAAATTCCATCGGATGAGAGGAAATGCCCGAGGAATTTAATACTTGACTTCCCAAACTCAGTTTTGTCTTTGTTAAGTGTCATTCCTACATTTTGAAGCTTTTCAAGTACTTGCCGAACAACTGTATCATGTTCTTCTTTCGTTTTGCCCCAAATCAGAATATCGTCCATATGGACTGCGACATTTGACTGGTTGTCTAAGATTTTGTTCATGCATTTCTGAAAATGTTCAGGTGCTGATGTGATTCCAAATGGAAGTTTGAGAAATTTAAAACGTCCAAAAGGGGTAAGGAAAGTAGTTAGATCCTGGGAATTTACATTTAAGGGGACTTGCCAAAAACCACTGTTTGCATCAAGTTTTGAAAACCATTTTGCTCCTGAGATTGAGCTGAGAGACGTTTCAATTTTGGGAATCGGATGATAAGACCGCTGGATGGATTCATTCAACTTTGTTAAGTCAACACATATGCGGACATCTCCATTAGATTTAGGCACTACTACCATTGCTGAGCACCATTCAGTAGCATGCTCAACTGGTGTGATTACATTATTTTGTACCATACTTTCTAGTTCTTTTTTCACTTGACACATTAGGGGTAAAGGTACTGTCCTAGGAGTGGTTATTGCGTATGGCTTTGCGCCATCCTTAAGTGCTATTGTGTAGGGATCAGGAATGACGCCCAGACCACTAAACATTTCATGGTATTCAGTAAAAAAGTCACTGTCTACCTCTGCAACTGAATTAACAAAAGTTAAAATTTTCAAGTCCTGTATTGCTGGACGACCAAGCAAGGGTGTTATGAGTCCCTTCACTACGTATACCATGTGATTTATTTTAACATCTCTGTATTGGATATTAGCTCTAACACAACCTACAGTTTCTAATTTTGTTCTACCAGCCCCAAACAACTCAACTAGAGTCGGCTGGATCCTACTTGGATCAACTATGCCAGGGGGAATTACTGTTACATCTGCCCCTGAATCAATTTTAAATGTTTGTGGTTTTCCCTCAAATACTAACTCTAGTTTCCAGGGCTTACATTTTGACCCATCCCCAAGTGTACCTATGAATACTTTATTATTTGAAGGTCCAAGTTCACTTACTTCATTTTCGTCAGTTACTTCCTGTGCTTCTTTAGATCTGCAGACTTTCGAAAAGTGACCAATCTTCTTGCATAACTTACATGTTGCCCTTTTTGCTGGACACGTGCTTCTTGGATGGGACGGTTTATAACCACACCAGATACATTGCGCTGGGTATTCTTGTTTCTTTTGACGAAACCTATATCCTTGATTTTGGTTTGAACTCGATGATGTAGTTGCTTCAATTTGAACTCTTTTCTCATCACATAAATCTGCCTTCTCTTTCTTTACGTTATCTGCATGTCTTATTACTGTAATGGCCTTGTCTAAATTCATCTCGGGATCTAGCAACAAGTGATCACTAAGTTTCTCATCATTTAAACCCAGTATTAGTACCATCAACACCATTTCATCATTAAGTGAACCCCAGTCACAGGTTCTAGCCAAGGAATGGAGACTAACTATAAACTCTTCAACTGTTTCATTAATTTTTTGTTGTCTCTTCAAAAACTTTGCTCTTTTAAAAATTAAGTTCCTCCGTGGAATAAAATGTTTGTCAAATAAATCTAAGACTTCTTCAAATGTTAGCGTTGATTCGGTTGCTAAATTAAAAGATGCAAAAATCTCATCAGCTTTCTCACCTAATGTGTATATAAGAGTGTTGATTTGTTTGTTCTCAGACTCTTCAGATAGCCCAGATGCTGACCGATATCTTTGAAATCGTGTTTTCCATCTTGGCCAATCTGCTGGTACAAAGGAGAAACTAGCTGGAGGCTGAATAACTGAATGAGTGTTTGATACAATGATTGACTTCTTAGTTGAATTGTTGTATTTATTTTCTCTGCTTCTTTCATTTTCATTATCTTCATAGTCAGATTGTTTCCTTCTTGGATTTTTCTTCTGAGGCATAGCTCTAAACCGCTGCCACCATGTACTATTTTACTAAGAATTAAGTGAATGCACTGTTTTATGTCATAACTCAAACTCAACTAACTTTATTTACCTTTTTACAAACATAGAATAACAAATAAACATATGATAATAATTAATAGAAATTAACAGGTGTTATGAAATAAACTGTTCTCACAACAGTTTTGATTACCAGGATAGAACTGCGGAATGGATGATCCAGCAGACTTATTACATCGGCTCGTTTTAGAAGACACACCTCCGGTAGACACCTTGACCGATTGTTTTCGCAGCCTTAGAAACAACTGCGCTGTAAATTCTGAGGTACGTACAGTAGAACTCCAATTATCCGAACTCCAATTAATCGAATCTCCAATTATCCGAATCGCTTATTTCAACAATTTTAAAAACGTAAAGCTACAGTAATAAGTTTTACAAAATATCAAAGAGTTGTTATTAAACACATTTAGCCAATTTTGGACTTTGATGGAACACTATTGAATTAATAACATGTATAGAACACTTGTACTATGAGCATTGTAAACTGTAAAAATGTTCTGATTTAAATTATTATTAGCCTAATTAAAAGTTCACTTAGTACCGAAAATGAGGATTTTTCTTTAAAATCCCCGGAATTCCAGTAAAACTCTGATTATCCGAATTTTTGATTGTCCGAATGGGGTCTGGTCCCTATTGATTCGGATAATCGGAGTTCTACTGTAATATGTTTTTGAAGCCTTAGAAAATTCTGTGCTGGTAATTCTGAGGTAGGCCTAGGCCTTGAACGTAAAAGTAAATGACTTCTAGGCTTATATATTTACTGTTTCATTTTACAACTATTTAGATTTTTGGCATTCTTTTCAACAAGAATGTTACCTTTGGTAAAAATACCCACACATTAAGTTAAGTATCCTTGGTTGCTGTAGTAGTTTCAGTTTATGGATTGGGACGGACTATCTTCTGGCTTTCAAGGAGTCATCATCAATCATCTTCCTTTGAAGGTTGTTAATAAAGTTCAATTAATACAAATGCTTGAATAACTTAACACATCACATAGGAATGGAATGATTACACTGAAGATGGTTCATCCATGAACCAAAACTATAGTTCGGCCGCTTAGAAAGCGACCTCCTCCAGCATTGGTTTAGCATTAGCGCGCAGGTCGTTTTCTAAGCGGCCGAACTATAGTCCTTGTTTCCACTTCAGCAACCAAGGATTATGTATACTTATGCAGGCATAAAACAATAATTTGGTGGTTACACAACTCTTTTGAACTTTAACATAGTGTTAAATAAAGGCTTGAACATTATTAATTTATCATTTAGGCCTACAGGTAGGCCTACTTACCTACCAACAAAGGAAATTGACGTTTCGCGTAAGCTTTATAAGGCTCAAAAAACACATAAAAAACCTGCAACATACATAAAGGGATTTTTAACTAAAAGCCGTTTTTTGCGTATTAAGTTAGCTCCCTAGTGTGCAAAACTAGACGGCTCGCCGCTTACTTAGCATCATTGGTGAACAGAATGGCGCTTCACTGTGCATTAAGACAAATTAAAAGTTTTTGAATCCCCAGCCATATGTGAGATAAGTCAGTGATACGTTTTATTACCCCAAGAAATGTATTCGATGCCGACATTCATCGCCAGATGACTGAAGGTTTGGCCCTAATGCAATGAGTTGGGTAAAGTCCAGGAATGGATTAGGGAGTGTGAAAGTGTGGGTTAGGGAGTGTGGGGGGGGCTGTGAAATGAAAACCTTTCTCCTTTGTGGTGTTCTGTGAGAAGTCTAGGAACTAACAAAAAATATATTTTCTTCCGATCAAACATTTCACGGCCTAACCCATTTCTGCAATTTACCCCTGCTGATTGCATTAGAAATTAGAACCATAAGCTTCTGTCGTCCAGCGAAGAACATCAGCAGCTGATGTATTTCTTGTAGTTAAAATATTTCACTGATCTTATCTTGCTTGTGGCAGTAGATTCAATTACTTAAAAAATGCTCTCTTAGACACACAGCAAAGTGTACATGTTAGCTACAGAGCTGCAGATGGCAGCCTTTCTGTTCACAAATGATGCCAGTAAGTGACAAGGAGTCTCGATGCTATGCATGTGTGAGCTAAGAAGCTATAGGCAACGCACAAAAAAATAAAGGCGTTTACTTAATAAACGACCCTTAAAGAAAGCAAAAAAACTGTATTGGTTAGCAGGCAAAAGACAGTGAGACGGGCAACAGACTGCTAAAAAATAATGAATTACCTTGTTTCAGATTGTTATAAAGGAATACGAAGAGTGCTGTAATGGATAATTATTTACCAGAAGATCTTTCACAGGAATTAGATATATTGCTCTAGGCATATTCCTTAAGTTTTTTACAGTACCCTATTTCGTAATAATAATATCAGCGTTGAGTGTGAAAATATACATATTGACATTCCTCAGGTACAAAGCTCTCTGGCGGAGTTATCCGTTCTGAATGACGCCAATCTTGCAATCAACAAAAGTTTGGATAAGAGGGGAGACGATTGGACGTTATGTTTGAGGATCAGTGCTCAGTTCTTGGGGAATCTCATTGTAAACAACCCCAAAACACAGCGGATTGTGTGGACCAAATGCTGCTCTCAGTTAAAGTGAGTATATGTTAACATTGACTTTAGATACTACAAGTGTCGAGTTTTCATCTTAATGTTTTATCTGAATGATATCACATTTGGCTACGTATGGTTTAAGCATTGACTTTGAATAGAGAAAGTAGACTTCTCCTGCTATTATTGTTAAAACTGTAGTCTTTTTTATGCGTGTTTTGTGTACTATTTTTGCTGTTTGTTTATGAATGCAAGTAGAAAGGAATCGCTAGGGGCTCAAAAGCGCATCCTAGTTTAGTTCAAAATTCCTCCGTTAACAGCGTTGTAGTAGAGAGCACAGCGCGTAATTTTTACTTCACTATTAGGCCTAGTTAATTATAAAATTCAGAAAAATTATAAAATTAATTTTAAAATTTTTCAATTATTAAATTAAACTGTCATAACCTAACCAAACTAACTGAACGTGCTGATAATGAAAAAATCGAATGAAGGTTTACTAATCTAAAAAATAGTTTTATTCATAAAATAAAATTATAAATGCCTAAAATTAAGTTTTATAATTTTTTAATTATAAAATTAAACTGTCATAACCTAACCAAACCAACCAAACTTGCTGATATTAAAAAAAATGTTGACAAAAAGTTAAGTGCTGCCAGCGGGATTCGAACCCAGTATCTTTGGATTATCAGCTCGCTACGCTATCCACTACACCACCGAGGCCGATGATTGAATTCCGTATCGTTGCGGTAATGGTGTTCCCTCAAGAGGAGATCTGACAGCTGACAGATTTTTAGGATGCGGTTTTGAGCCCCTAGCGATTCCTGCAAGCAGAAGACAACCTATTGTTTGTAAACACATAATTTCATTTTGTTCAGATAGTTTAAAAAATATTAAGTTAGTTAAATAACAAGAATCAATAGTAGGGTAATCATAAAAAATTCTCTCCTGTTCTATTGATATTCTGTGTGCAAAACATAGGCCTGCTGTGATTCGGATGGCATTTCAATATGATTCCTGTATTCGTTTTTCTCTTTTCTTCATTTTGACTTAGCTTGCGTTCATTTACATATTATGTTAGCGGTTTAAATATATATTCCAAAAATCATATATAATCAAAAAAAAAAAAAAAAAAAAAAAAAAATTTGAATATTTCAGACAAATGGCGATACACGGAGATGAAAAACTGACTAATATCTGCATGATGGTGTTGTACAATATACTGCTTGGGTGTCCTAATCTAACCAAGGATTTTATCTCTGATGAAGAGTTTGTGAGAATAGTCTGCACAAGTGGTGGAGATGGTCTTGAGTTTGCGTAAGTAATTTGTTACATGTTATTTACTTTGCTAATCAGGATTTAAAAGGGGCCACCTAGCTTACCTGAGCATGTTAGAGTCCAGTGGCTAATAATACAAAATAAAAAGTCACAAAACACGAAACTGATTGTGGACAAAACTTCTCCAATCTACCATAGACAAAAGAATTAAATATATACTGACAAAGGAAGGTTCTGGCGATGTGCCACTAGAACGTACTCAGTGTTTGTCGATTCACTGTCGTCAATTCACCGTCTGCAACCCAGTACTACCACCCTCGCAAACGAAATGCCACCAATGTATCAGACCCAAAAATTCTGAAATCCTGTAGTTTTAACGGAAAAGCCCATTTTTTCAAAAACCCCGAAGATTTTTAAAACACAGAAAAATAACAGAACAAATTCCTACTCCTTGTACTCCGGGAATTCTCCAGAAGTTGGCAACCCTGGCTCCAACTACCAACTTCTCATAGCAACACTCGCTAGCGCTTGACGCTGCAGCGGTGTGCGCCGAAACTACATGGCACTCCTAGCGGTGGACGCCAGAATTTATGCTAACCGCAGCACTGCTGTCAGTCTTATATTTAGGCCTAATTCTTTTGTCTATGAATCTACTCTGAAGGTTACATATATTAGAACAAAATATCAGTGTTAAGGATTGTGGCTTTTATTAGCTCAAAGCTTGTAACTGTTTATCTATCAGCCCCTCGACTCAACTCTCTCCCGGTAAGCTAGATGAACTCTATCATATTTAAAAATCCCAATCAGAAACTTACTTTCCTTTTAAAAGAAAACTAGTACTTTATTTAATCAAATTAACCAGTAGATTATGTTAGTGGGCTGGTGGATTATCCTATTGAGGTAGACTAAGGTGTTTATTTAGAAATTCCAGTTAAGTTAGTATAATTACTGTCATAAATTGCATCCATTGACAGTTAGTTATTCATGTACAATATGTATCTACAGCAGGTGAACAAGTTTAGCCTTTGGATCATGTTTTTACAAATAAAAAGGTGAAATAACTGCTGCACTGTCAGTGATCTGAGTTTTTGCCAACGATAAGTGTTACAAGTATTTGATAACCCTTTACAACCCAGGGGAAGAGGACTTTTTAACTTGGTAACTTTTTTTTGTTAACTTTTTAGCTTGAAAATGAACTTTTAGTTTCAAAACCTTGGTCGCTGGCTTAAAACTGGATCACCGACAAGGCATTTAAACCTTTTTATTTGCATCTAGAGGTATTTTTATTTGATAATTGTGTGTTTCTAGGCAATATATAATGGAGCATCTTATGACTCAGGATGTAGACTGGGCCAAAGTTTACACTTCTCAAGTTCCAGTTCAGGGAAGGTGAATATTTAAATTAATTATTTCAGTTTAAAGATAGTTTATGAAATAAACATGCAATCCCGAATTAAAACAAGTTATTAATCTTAATGAATTTGATTCTGTTAAATAAAGTGTTTAAAAGGAGTGTAAATAAACCCTTCCCGCAGGAGCGAGGGATAATCTAATCTGCTTCTTTTTTTAGTTGAAAAACAGGTAATGGATAGGCTATATTCGCTTAATGGTTATAGCCATTGCAAACAAGAAGCAGGAATTTCCGTCTTTTTGTAGACGGGTCTGTTACCAGATAGTTTCTGAATCGATGGCACAACATTTCTGCAGCCTACAGAAGTGCTGTGACCTTGTATGTGGCATATCACACTTCCCATGCTAATTTTGATAAGCATATGATTTTTTTACGTTAACATTTTTAAAGGATAAAATGTTGTTATTTTCCCATGTCGGATTTATCATGTAGCCTAATGTTCTTTTTAAAATAAAATCTTAAGTACCGGTAGTCATTAAATAAATTATCACTTTTTTAAATTCTTGATTTATAACCTGATGTTATAACCCATTACACTTGTCTTGGAATTCACTAACAAGTAGTGTATGTCTGCACTATTTTTTAGTAAAACATTGATTCTACGTATTACGTTCTAAGTCATGTTATGTTTTATGTTTATCTAGAGTTGATATGTGTAAATAAGAGCCAGAAATTAAAATGAAATTTGTTTTAATTTTACACATTTTTGACTAATGTTATGTGACCATAGCCTCTTTAATATTGAATGAAGGACATTTTGATGTGCACATATCATTCTGTAAAGGGGTTTTGCCTTATTTATTTATGGAGTTATTCTCTTCACTTCAAATGCTGAAAAAATACCTTACCTGAAATTTTGGCAACCCAAACTCCCCCCCCCCTCCCCTTAATTTGATGATTCAACTGTATCATAACCTCTGCTTGGTTGTGGTTTCCTGCAGGATGTTTTTGATGGAGGTGTTTGAGAGCAAGATCAAACAGTCAGCAGACGACGTACCGGTGTCTCTAGTGACCCACCTGGCCTTACAGTTCTGTCAACTGTCGGACTGTATTCTGCAGACGACGGCAGACAAGGTGGCGACACTGGAACCTGTTGAAGTGGCCACACTGTTGCAGATGTTGGCGACCTGCTCGGCTCAACCACCCCACCTACAGGCTCTTCAGGAACTACGTAGCTTCTTCATCAACTGTGCTTGTGGGTAAAGATAGAGATTCGTTAAAATTTGACAGCCATCCAAATCGCTATTTACAAGTGAGGTTAACCCTTCAAAGTATTACCTTTCGGCCACCATTTTTTTGTGTGCACACTGATCGCTATCCCCTCACTAATGGGCACCCCCCCCCCCCTACTTGAACTCGTCCAGGGAACATTTTTTTATATCAATTTGATACAGTGCCACATACTCTGTTAAAAATATGTAGGCATCACTTTGATACAGTGTGACCTATATTTTACACAATGCTTGATTATCCACTCTCTATTATCATTCACAAGACAAAAAATCTTCCTTAATATTTTATTTTAAAAAACAATTAGTTTTCTCTCTTCTTTTTGATTTAATATCCACGTTTCGGCTCCATTTAGTAAGACTGGTCGGATAATTGTACGGTAGACCTTAATTTTGGTTTGACGTTATTGAATTCTTGAGGTTAGGATTTTGTTACAGGCATGCCTACTTTTATAATTTATGACTAACACTACTGCTCTCATAATCTTGTACTACTAACTATTCATGATTGTATTGTTTTTGTTGCAGTTCTACTAAAGAGTATCCACTTAGCGGGGAAGGAACCAAATAGTTGTTTCTCAGCTGTTTGTAAACTCGCAGCTGCAGACGACGAAATGCAGAAACACCCAGCGTTTGGATTCAAAGGCAACCTGGTCAGAATCCTTGGGAATCTTTGTTGGAAGCACAAATATAACCAGGATCAGGTGAGTTTACCTTTCCTCCAGAGAAGAATTTTACATTGATAGATTTTAAAAGTAAACAAGTTTGATAGAAAAATCGTAACTGGCAAAAAAATCTGAAGTCGTTTTAATGTTACAAAACAACAGTAAAAATATTGGAACCAGTTAAGTAATAAAAAAAACTTGTTCCAGTTATTGTAGCCTACTTTAATTGTTCCAATAATACTTTGACTTTAATTTTTACCTTTATGGTACCAAAAGTTATTATGTTAGTATCACACAAGTTTAGACAGATATATCCAAAAATCATCTTCAATAAAAGAATCAACGTACCTACCGTACTTAATGCAACAATGGTTTGCCCTGCAACATCCCTTTTCCAGCCATCCATCTTAACATATATATCAATTCAAATGAATAGTGTTTTACCCTCGATGGACGGGGGTATTGAAGGGGGTGACTTGATAAAATATGATCCCAGGTCGAAAAGAATAATTTTAGGCCCTAGTTATGAAATATACTATTAAAAATAATAACCAACCCAATCTATGCTTTTCTCGTTCTTTTTTATCTTATTATCTTATAAAGTCATGAGGCTTTTCCTCCTCTACCTCACCTATAGTGAAATGTGAATTCTAAAACTACATCTATTGGTAAAGTTTTACTTCATTTTTTACTAGGTATTGTAGTAGATAACAATTACATAAATGGCCATTTTAGGAAAGTCCATTTTTAAGAGAACAATGTGCTCTATGTTAAGTCTACTAAACACAGACAAAACCATCTTGTGAGCCATTCATTAGCTCGTCGATAGTTGTGTACTCAAAAACTTGGGTTATGTTTATGTTATGCAATTGATGACGTTTCGGAAAACCTCAGCTGTTGAGCTGTTGTTTAAAAGCGAGGGAGAAAAAAGATTGCTTCCCCTAAAACCGCCTAAATTTTTTGAAAGGAGTATAACAGTTTAAACACATGTTATAAATAAAATTAAAACTAGTGGCTTGTAGGGACATAAGTCCCTAAAAAGCTCAAATGTAAAACAACTTTTTGCAATACCGGGATTTAAACAAACTCAGAATAACATTATCTATGTGTCAGAATAGGCATCCCTACACCATATCTTTTGTGTAAAAACCAGTTTGTTGTTCTTCTTCGTTTGCTTTTGTTGATGTCATTTTCAATAAATAATTTGAATCACTCCAGTGGTTTAACATGAAAAGGCAGCAAACATATCATTGTTTGTGAATAAATACTGGTTTACTAAGGTAGCTTTGGTCTTGTGGTTAATAAGGATAAAAAAAGCTTCCCTGTTTGGAATTTTAAAAATTCATTGGAGGTTCGCCTTCAGATGAATTGAAGACGCCTGCAATTTCATCTGCAGTAGGCTTATTATACCTACGACGATCCATATTTATCCTGTCTACAAACCTAAGTTCTAATTCACTGTCACCTTATACAACCATTTCTTCCGAAGCTCTTTTGTAAATTTGTGCAAATGGATTTTCTAATAGAATTTCAGCTAGTTTTGACAATATTTCAGGTTTTAAGTCACTATTTTCTCGACGCCTTTGACAAATTTCTGTTGCTGTTGATGTGTCAATAATGTACAATTGGCCATACACGGGGTCTTCATCATGTTGAGGCAGCAAATCTGAGATTGAACGATAAATCTGTCCTTGAATTTTGAAACAGTATGGTCCTTTTCCTGGAATATCTTTATTACTGGCTGAAAAATAAGCAAAAGCCATCGCACTGTTGCATTGTCGAATGAATTTATACAGTTGTGGGCTCTCTTCAAACAAACTTTTAAGTTCTACATTAGTTTTTGACTGAGGAAGGTTAATAAGTCCGTTATGGCAACATATCATAAAATGATTATTCGTTAGTTCTTCTCTAAAATGAAGGGCCCTACATTGAATGCACTCTTGGTCCAATAATCCTGCATCATGGATCTTTACATTTCTCTCGTCTACCATGGGTCTCCTAAAAAGGGGTTGTAACATATCTTGATTAAGATCGTCATTATCTACTCTTGCTCTCCTACGCGCACTGTCATTCCTATGAACAGTTCCCCGCCTTTGTGGTATTGCCCTGGCGTTCATATTAATTACAGTACTTATAATGAAAGAATATATATCCAGCAGCCTACATACCAAAACATCTTGAATCCCTGGTGATTTTATAAAAGTATGATCGAATATGATTACTCTACGATGTATATTCACTGCACTAAAAAAATTTACTTACGAAGGAATGCAAATACACCGTTTTAGAACCAATAACATTTATAGGTTATTTTAGTTGTATATATTTACACAACCTTAACCTTAAAATGTGTAGAAATATAAAGAAAACAACATCATTTAAAATAAACTTGAACATATGATTTAAAAATAAAAACAAAACAGAAGTTAGATTTAATTTCGACTCTTTGATTATTTATACAGAATATTTATTCTATGTCGTTTATTCCTTTAACACGACAATAACGTAAAAGCATGAAAAAATTAAACTTGAGTATATGATATAAACAAAGAATTTTCCGACTAATCTTCAATATTTCAGTTTTATTATAGTGTACATTTCATAGTTGACTGGCTAAAAGTAAACCAAATGCGTGTATTGATCACTGTTTTCAAATCTGTGGCACAGCTGTTTTAATTTCAAAAGATGTAAAAAAATTAAACCCCATGTTGTTTTAATGGGAAAAGTTTTATTCTGTTGCGAATTTATGGTAAAAAAATAAGAAAAATGAATAGTTTTCCCTCAAAATTCACGTCAAGACCTTTAAAATAAGACCCCTCCCATCCTTCTACGGCCATCCAGTCACTCACAATTTCTTTACAAAAATTTGACTTACGGAATTATATATATAGATAAAAACATATTGTGTTAACAGTTGTGAAAAATTTTTTGTACTTGATAATAAATGGCTACAATGATCTGTGAACTAAGAAAAACAAGGTGTTGTACTAAATCAAACTTATCATCATAAAGAAGTCTGGCATTATTTTACTTATGATTATTCCTGATGATTCTTATTCTTATAGATGAGAGAATTGGAAATCATCCCTGTTCTACTAGACTGCTGCAACATTGATGCTAGAAATCCATGTATCCTTCTAAATTAGTTCTTAATTGTGTAAACTTTAAATGTATGTGTCTTATTTTTAGGGATGGACGCAATTGAATTTTTAGTTCGGGACGGGATTTTTATTTCCTTCTCGATTTTCGGGACGGGACGGGACGGGATTTTTTTCTGTGCATAAAAAGAAAGTCTTGAGTATTGCAGTTACCAAAAAAGGCATACAAAATCAATCTTTACCGTTTGTGGCACTGATCTATAAAAACCAAAAAATGGGTAACAATTTTTCAGGTACCTATAGAAACTTGTGACTCGCGGTCTAAAGGACTCGCGGTCACTGTGCGATCGTCAAAATGACGGCAGTAACGGGGTGATCGTCGGTATGACTCGCGGTCACAGCGCGATCGTCGGTATGACTCCGCGGTCACGGCGTGATTGTCGGTATGACTCCGCGGTCACGGCGTGATCGTCGGTATGACTTCGCGGTCACGGCGTGATCGTCGGTATGACTCCGTGGTCACGGCGTGATCGTCGGTATGGCTCCGCGGTCACGGCGTGATCGTCGGTATGGCTCCGCGGTCACGGCGCGATCGTCGGTATGACTCCGCGGTCACGGCGCGATCGTCGGTATGACTCCGCAGTCACGGCGTGATTGTCGGTATGACTCCGTGGTCACGGCGTGATCGTCGGTGTGACTCCGAGGTCACGGCGTGATCGTCGGTATGACTCCGTGGTCACGGCGTGATCGTCGGTATGACTCCGCGGTCACGGTGTGATCGTCGGTATGGCTCCGCGGTCACGGCGCGATCGTCGGTATGACTCCGCAGTCACGGCGTGATTGTCGGTATGACTCCGTGGTCACGGCGTGATCGTCGGTATGACTCCGAGGTCACGGCGCGATCGCCGGTATGTCTCCGCGGTCACGGCGTGATCGTCGGTATGACTCTGTGGTCACGGCACGATCGTCGTTATGACTCCGTGGTCACGGCGCAATCGTCGAAACGACTTCGTCTCCTGCGTTCGCGGACCTATCGCTCGCAATAGCGGCGTCATCGGCACTCGCGAAGCGGCAAAATCGCCGGCGATTGGACCAAATCCCTTCCCGAAAAATTCCCGAATCAAATGTAATCCCGTCCTGATAATCGGGAATATTTTTTCCTTGAAAAATTACCGAAATTTCGGGACCCGTCCATCCCTACTTATTTTTAACAAGTTTTGCTTGGATTCTATTTTAGACGAAGGGAAATCAGTAGAAAGAATTGTTGAGTTTTCAATAATGTAGTTGACAAAATGGTAAATTTGCAATATATCATTATCTTTCATATACGTTCATATCGTTCATTCACATAGATCTAGGTGTATATTTGAAGTAATGGTCTGTGGTGCACTGAAAAATTACCTACTTTGGTTCGGTACAGCATTTTCCTCTGTACAAATTCAGCTTACAATAATTGATTACTTTTAATTAAACATGGCATAAAGTCGTTTTGCTCAAATTGAACAGTAAAACTAATGAGTTCAGTGAGATAGCTCAATGAATTTATGTTGTTGCCAAGCATTGTGAGCAGACGACGTGCAGAACGATGATGTTGTTTCATTATATATTTCCTTATTCTTTTTGGCCTATTGTGAGTTTAGTTTGTATGTGAGTTAAAGCATTATCAAACATAAAAAAACGCATAAATACGATAAAAGACAGAGACACACATCTCTCTTGTCGTATTGGTGATTTGCAGGTAAGCAATAGCTACACAAAACACAGTAAGCCTAGCAGCTGACGGAGGGAACTACTGCACTACGGTTCACTTAACATTCCTCAGGAAGAAGGGTCTCAATCATTATAATTCGCATTGTGCAGAGTAATGGAGAATTATGTGGAGGGGATGTAACTTTTATTCGTCTACAATACTTTTAATAACGTGCTATATATAGTGTCCGGCCAGGTACCAGATAGTAACCAGATATCCATTACACCTCTTTCCTGTTATAGGTTACGTTCTACAAGTTTAACTTTAAGAAGTCTTATTACCTTATTACCTTATTACCTCCTCCTTGGCTTGATACCAGCATAAGCTGGATAGGCTGCGTCAATATTACAATTTACAGAAAAAATAAACTATTTACAGTATATACAGACTTCCATTTAGTCGGACTTTCGTATGGTCATTAGACCAAAAGAACTTGAAAAACTTTATGGCGGTAGATTTAGAGTCCTGTGAGGTCGTCCTCAAAGAATTCCTTGAGAGAGTAATACGGCCTAGCTTTTAGCCAACACTTTAACCTTGCTTGAAACTGATTGTGGTTTAAATCCCTCACCGCAACCGGCAACTTATTGGTCAGTCTGAGGGCCATGACAGGGAAAGCGTCTTTTGTCCTGCTGAGCCTACAATAGGGTACGTCAATGTGATTTTTGCGTCTGGTGTTATGCGCATGCACCTGCTGTCTGGTGGTAAAGGTATTTACATTGGAGTGTACGTAGCTGACACATTGAAGGATGTAGTTACTGTGTATAGTGAGTATGCCCAATTCAGCGAATATAGGCTTGCAGTGCTTCTGTCGCCCGCTGCCAGTCATAATTCTCAGAGCTTTCTTCTGCTGCTTTAGGATTCTGGAGACATTAGCTGCATGACCCCATAGCTGGAGACCGTAAGTAACGTGGCTGTGGAATAAAGCATGGTAGACCACAACTAGGTAAGCTTTATCAACTAGTCTCGTTAACTTCCTGAGAAGATGTGTTACTCTCGACAACCTCTTAGCCACGTTATCCACATGGTCTTTCCAACTCAGCTTTGGGTCAATCGTAAAGCCTAGCAGATTTACCTTGACAACGTCCTGAGCCAAGTTTGAATTAAGTGAGCACAGGATTTTTTGTGTCTTGTCTTGGTTTAGTTTTAATTTGTTTGTCTCAAACCAGTCCTTTGCTGCCCTAAACATTACTTCAGCTCTTTCTGAGGCAGTTCCTGGATTGTTACCAACAGAAATTAGGGTAGTGTCATCAGCAAACCTGAGTGCATTGCCACTTAGCTCAAGATCGTTTATGGCTATCAGAAAGAGGACAGGGCCCACAACCGATCCCTGAGGCACCCCGTGAGGAACATTGAGAGCTCGGGACTTAGCTCCAGCTATCGAGACGACCTGCTGTCGGTTCTCCAAATATGTCACAAAGGTGTCGTAAACTGCACCGCGCACCCCATATTTATTTAATTTGGCAAGCAGAATGTCATGTGAGACGCAATCGAATGCCTTGCTCAAGTCACATAATGTCAAGGCAACAGTGTTGGTATCCTCAAAGGCTTGTTGAATGCGACGTATGAGCTCAGAGACGGCAGTGACAGTTGATCTGTCTTTACGGAAGCCGTGTTGAAGATTGGACATCAGGTTATTGCGCTCAAGATAAGAGACTAGCTGGAGTTTGATGGATGTTTCAAAGACCTTAGCGAAGGTTGGTATAATAGATATGGGTCTATAGCTCTGTACACTTGCTGGATCTCCTTTTTTGTATATGGGGACAGTTCTAGACACCCTTAGAATTCTAGGAAATATTCCGGCACTCAGGCAAGAGTTCAGGACCTGGCAAAGAGGGATGGCAACAATATTAACAGTATGTTTTAGGATGACAGTAGTCATTCCATATATGTCAGGGCTGTGAGAGGTCTTAAAATGGCCTACCATGGTGACAAGGCTCTCTGGTGTAAGAGGTTGCCAGGATGAAAGGTTGGCATCAGGAGACTGTATGCCTTTGACTACTTCACTATTATCTACAGGAGCGGAGCCTACAATGCCTGCTACAGTACTGATGAGATGGGTGTTAAAATCATCGGGGCTAGCAGAACATTTAGAGGCAGGTGACGGCCCTTGACCGGTATTACGGTTGTTGTTGACCAAGTTCCAAACCGCCTTACAAGGATTTAGCGAGCTTTCAATGAGCCTCACATTAGAAGCTTTCTTTGCCTGGTCTATTTTAATTCTATACAACCTTTTGGCTCTGGTGTAAAGATTAAAGAAATGCTCCCTATTGGCGGGGGTCTCCGCTGTCATGTACCTATCCCTGAATGCTAGAACAAACATTTGTATCTGCTTCAGCTCTGCAGTAAACCAAGATTTGTCCCTAGGCCGGAGTGGGGTTTTTTTGGTTTGAGGGTTTACTTTTTTGCTGACCTTTAAGGGGAAAAAAGTATTAAAAACTGAATTGTATGCATCAAAAAATGCCTCAAAAGCCGATTCGGCCTGCTTGCCAAATAAGACATCATCCCAGGGGACCTGTGAAAGAGCATGTTTAAAACTAGGAATAAGATCTTCATCTAATAACCTATAATGTCTAGTATAGAGATTTAACCATGCAGGAACTGTTAAAGAAGGACTCACCATACTGGAGTTGACTTTCATGAGAACCGCTTGATGGTCCGCCACATACGGTTCGGTTGTCCAAACCTGATATTCCCATATGTTAAGATCTGTGGCCACTGTATCCAGGCAGCGAGGTCCACGCGTAGGCAGAAGACTAGTGATGAACAGTCCATGAGAGCGTAGAAGATCTACGAAGTCATTGGCCATTACATCGTTGGCATTGAGGGTTATGTTGAAGTCTCCGCCCAAAATAATGTTTTTCTTGAAACCAGCAAGATAGCCTAGACACTGGTCGAGCAGATCAAAGAACTTCAGAACCTGGCCATCAGGCGAGCGATATATGCTGAGGACGATGAGGGATTTGTCCGTCAGTTCTATACCAGCTATCTCAATGTCGAGTTCACTGCAATACTGCACAAGATTAATAGGCCTAGACCTAGTGAGTAAGTCCTGTTTCACATATATAGAGACACCACCATTCTTGTGCAGGTCACGACAATAACTTGCTACTAGTTGCAATGAGTTCAGTTTGCTGAAAGCGTGTATCTCACCGTTTCCTAGCCAATGTTCACAGGCACAGAAAACGTCTAATTGATTTTCTTCGCAAAAAAGTGAGGTGACATTTAATTTAGTACGCAAACACTGAATGTTAAGATAGCCAAATACCATATGATTACTAGTTTTAGGTACAGGAGCCACATCCCTGGCCAAGTCGTGCTTCCTAGGCCTAGGCACATTTGAGGTTAGAGGATTTTGTATAGGCCTATTGTCTGTAAAAGCTAAGGAATCCGAGATGGGCACTGGGACAGCAACATGTCCTACGTCACTGCACTTTTCCTTGGTTCCCGGAATAAAAAACGCTTCAATGTAATGTTCTTGGGCCACAATTTGCCATCCAAAACGTTGTCCTTGTGGATAAAGTCACAACCTATCTTGAAGCTATCATTAGAGCCTTTTGTTTCTAACTTGTCAATCTGGAATTCCACTCCCGGGAAGACTTTAGCCACGTAGCCTTGAACATCGGCCACCTCGGTACCTTTTTTGACTTTCCCCAAGTGTAACCAGGCTTTCTTTGCCCCTTTTAGGGTTTCATCATCAGAAGTCCCCACAAGAACTTGTTTTGCGGTTGTAGATCTAGGCCTAGTCACGGTTCTTCTCGTCACCGACCTTGCCTCTTGTCTGTCTTGGTTCGTAGCAATAACTTTGGCACTAATGTTTGAGGTAGCTACTGCCACATAACTCAGCTTATGGTCCACATGAGATGCGCTAACACGGTTTTTACTTGTCTCATCACTCGTCAGGTTGGTCTTGTTCTTCCTATGTTTGTTACCAACAGTAGTCCAGACAACATCAGATTTGTCTCTTGACAACATGCAGTTCTTCTTGTTCTTGTCAGATGCTTCTTCTGTTTGCGCAATGTCGTCTGCTGCTGATATTTTTTTTGCCTTGTCCATTTCAGTGACATTACTGACATTTGACTTCGTCATATCAATCGCCATGGTCTTAGGATTTATACCCGTATCAGAGTGGTCAGATTCTCCTTCTGGAGCGGATTCAAAAGAGTCCGCTGTCCCAGTGGTCAGATTGCAGTCGCCGTGGTGGACGTTGTCGTCTGCTTGAAATATGTTTTGATTTTGAACTTCCGGCATTTTTGTCAAAATAATTGAGGTTAGGCGAGATTCTAGTTTAATGTTATTCTGATTCAATGATTCCATTTTTGAAATTAATTGGTTATGGTCTTGATTAAGATCCTTTACTAGTTTTAGTAGTGTACCGACTGTTTCATGGAGAGTTGTACAATTTTCATTGCTACATACATACGTTCTCATGGTTGCCATGCGACATAGGCACTTTTCACAAGTCCACTGAATAAATTCATGTAGCCTGTTTATGTCACTAAAAACACTTTTTGGAACTTTCGCACATTTTATATGGAACCACCTCCTGCAGAAACCATCACAGAATAATCCGTCTTGGTCTTCTTTCACTGTTTTATTACACACAGCACAGTCAGAGTTCTCATCGTCTACCGCCATGTTAACCGGAAACCATACGTACATGCAAATACCTTTAATCTATTGGATTGTAGTACGGTATATATTTCCATATTATTAGTGTGACAAAGGTATAAAAATACGGATCATCACTGGCTAGAAGAGTTGTATTTTCCTCAGTGTTTTCTCAGTCATCATCCAATGGGTGGTTCTGGCTGTGAGGAACGTTTGTGAGCAAAACGCAGACAACCAGGCGTACATAGGCAGCATGACCAGACAAGGGTTGGTGGAATCAGCTGTCCTTACAGAACTGGGGATGACACTCCACTCTGATGAAGACAACAACCAAATACGCATCGCACCCCTCAAAACTGACAAGCACTGAATTGTGGATTAAGTGGTGATTAATCAACGGTCTGTGCATTTACAATGTTTACAATCTTTCACAGCTTTATATAAGATCATTAATTATATACATTTTCAAAAACAATAATTCTCTTTTTAAACAAACTTCTCACAACTATCCTACAAGATTTGCTTTGAACACTGGGATAGAGTTACCTAAGATCACTAAAAGTATTAATAAAACGTCTCCCCAATACATTGCAACAGTTATTTTTTCTAAATTACCCACTCAGCTAAAAAATCCGGAGCCGTGCAGTCTGTTAAAATATAAAAAACTCGTAAATAAATGGTTAGTGGAACTCGGACGCGGGCATATCAACAGCTTGTTTGTGTCCATGTATTCCTTCTAAAGCCGTCATAGTTAAATACAACGATGAATGACTGTCAGGTTGGGATGTTTGTGTGTGGATGTGCGTGCAAGTGAGTGTGAGCGGTGTGAGTGAGAGGGAGCGAGTGAATGGTTCATAGGACATGCAGGGACAGAGCAGAGACGGCCTAACTAAAGGAACTGTAGGGCCAGCAGCCGCCTGATGTCCTGGTGCAACTGAGCAACTGAGCTGAAGTGTGTTGTGTGTTGTGTGTGTGCTGTTGTCTGTCTGTGTGTGTATGTCTGTGTGTGTGTGTGTGTGTGTGTGTGTGTGGTTTCCGAGTCTCAGTTGATACGTACGCGGTTTGTTTAGTATGTATAGTTTTGTTTTCGCCTTTATTTCCTATTGTGGTTCCTACAGTTTTTAAAATTAATTTGTATTACCGTAGCTCAATGTGCAATCTTACTCCCTTCCAAAGTATGTAAAATAATAATTTTAGTTATTAATTAATTTTTATATTAATATGTAAGTTTGACTACTGGTGAAGCTCATTCCCCACACACAGGCTGTGCCTATGTGGGGAATAATCCATCTGTTTTGTACAACCCTATGTAACTATTTTTGTGTTTTGTGTTTTGATGGAATAAAGTATTTTTCATTTCATTTTTTCATTTCATTTCATTTTCATTTCATTTTTCATTTCATTTCATTTCAATGTAGGAATTCATTAAAAAATAATAAACTAGGGTGAATTGGGGTAATTGGGACCCCGGGGCTATTGGAATCTCGGTGTTTATATTTGATTTTTTATGAGAAAAATATTATATGTAAATTTTTTACAAGATTATATGTTTTTATTCATATCTCTACTATCCAAATCAAATAAAAACTACTTTTTCAATTTTATTTAATTTTTTTTATTTTTGCACTGCAAATATACTTTTTAGATGAGTTACAAGTTCTATTTTTTATTTGTTACAGATGAATTATGGAATGCAGTATAACAGTCAAAACTGAGGAACTGGCCTATTTTTACTAGAGGAATCCAGACATGAGCTTAAAATCAACCTAGGGACTAAAATAAAAATAATTACAGGGGGGTTCCAGTTTACCCTGGCAAATTTTATAGTTGGGGTAAATGGAACCCTGGGGTGAATGTAATTCGTGACCGCCGTCAAACTGCCGAACAAAAAAGTTAACAACTTCCAAACCGTATGCAATAGAGAAAATATATTTGAAAAGTACACAAAATAAGGTATATCATAATAGCCCCACTTATTAATAGCTGTAGTTATATGGCTATACCAAAATTCCAGTCAGGAACCCTGGGGCAAATGTAATTTGCGACCTGCCGTGTACTGCCAAACAAAAAAGTTAATACAGTAACTTCCAAACCGTATGCAATAGAGAAATATATATATATATTTGAAAAGTACACATAATAACGTATATCCCAATAGCCCCACATATTTATAGCTGTGGTTATATGGTTATACCAGACCACGATTCCAATTGCTCCACTTTCCTGGGGTAATTGGAATCCTTTCAGGCATTTTTTATTTAATTATTCTTACTGAATTTTAAAATTATACAGTAGATTAAAACTGCCCATTTATTAACAAAGAAATGTATGTTCACTTTCATATGAGGTATATTTTATTTATCTATGTCTAATGGTTCATATACTACATAGCTCTAAAAGTTTCACTATGCAAATTTCGGGTCCCAATTACCCCACTTCACCCTATAAATGCTAACAATATTGCATCCACATTATACTTTAAAAGAATTCACACACAATAACAAAAGAAAAGAAAATATTGTACAATAAGTCAATATGTTAAAGCGTGTTAGTGCGAAACATTAAAAAAATAACAAAATTCAACAATAAGAACCCACGCATCCACGCTTGAAGAAAACATTCTACAAGTAAATACCTTGCATGACAATAATTAACAATTCTTAACCTACAAACATAACGTGAAAACAAGCTGAGTCAAGGAAATATTGATAAAAACTAACCATACAACAATTCAACAAACTAGTGACATTTTTCTTTTAAAGGATGGACGCGTTAGTCTGAAGAAGTCAACCTGAGGTGAAACGACATTACCACTTCTCAGATAAGGAGGGAAAATGAAAATACTATGGTAGCTGTAGGCCTATGTGTTGTAAAGGAAGAGGTTTTAAAAGCAACTCTTAAGATCTGGTGTCTAGTAATTCCAACATCCACCATGCCAAGAAGTTCTGAATAATCAGTTAGAATTAGACCATAAGACGTTTGATGTACCGGTACCGGTAGCACTCAATGTAAGAATTTTTTTACAATCTGATGATGTTGTACCATAGACTGACCAATAAAAGTAGACTTCTCACTGCATTGCAAATTTTGAAGTTTGTTTTCCGTATCTAGTTCATGTTAGTGAGTTGGTGACACTGGTCGATTGAATTTTGTTTTTATTATTTTAGGGCCAGTTTATTGATTTGTGCTTTACTGTTTGCTAATATAACTAGGGGACGAGTTATCATTCATGATTAAGTTAGATTGTTTTATTTGGGTAAATGAGGTTTCAAATTACTGAAATACCAAGAAACAATTGTGAACAAAACACAACCTCTACAGTCCACTGGACAGAACTAACAATAAAATCGTCGTCAGCTGATCCGTAAGGATGAGAAATCGACTAAGGGAGTGTGTTTTATCTTTGACTATTAATAGAACTAGACATTCCATTCCCATGTTAAATTTGTAGCCAGTTTTTTTTACCAAAATTGTCGTAGTTGATGTGAGCCACTGACAGATTGTGCTGATCTAAATTGCTGATTTCTATCAAATACGCAATCTGTTTTACTAATTCAATGTTTTACTAATGGAATGTTCAATGTTTTCTGTTTTACTAATGGAAGGACTTATTGTGAGCTATAGCAACTGTTATGACCCATCAACTTGACCAGCAACAAAAAATAAGGTAGAAAATAGAGTTTTAGTCACTAGCGCATTCTGTGCCTGGCTCACACTTCTAAGTTCTTTTTTAACGAAAAATTGGCTACAGCTGGTCCATATAGATGGGACGTCTACTTCAGTATCCATTATCCAATAGTAAATTGTTTTATCTATGGTTGTAATGTTGTACCAATCTAGATATATTGATTCATTCCTGAAAGTTGCTACATGAAAGAGAGTAAATATCTTTAACAATCGTATAGCAGGTCTATTACAAATTTTTTTCTACAAGTTAGCAGCTCTTTATTTAAACTTTGCATTTGTCCTTCCACATAGGCCTCCAAGCCTGTGAAACATATCAAGTGAAGCAAGCATGAACTGTACGTACTGATAAATTTTAAAAGGTGGTACCAAAGCTGGAACCTATAGAATTTCTGCCTTGATTTCACAATCTGTCATTACCAATTGCGCCATAGATTCACACAAATTGTGATGAATGCTTGCATAAGAAATAAGATTTGTCATATGCTAATGCATTTGTTTTGAGTACAGAAAATCTGTTGATAAATTAAATTTATGGAAATGATAAATTCTTCTAATTTATTAATTATTTAAAAGATATTAACCACAATACCACAAACAAAGGGTTTAGCTGATGTAGTGACTTAAAAGACTAGCATTAAATCATTGGAATCAATTTTAACCTAAAAAAGGCAATACAAAAGAAGTAAAAACACTTGTTTCAAAGGATTCAAAGCTATTGTTGTATCAAGTGGTCTTACTTGATCTGGAATGTCTCGCCTATTAATTGTTTTATTTTAATTTAAATAATCACTGCTTTTCTAATTTTGTTATTTTTATTTACCACGCATATGAGACCATTTCTCATGTACCCTATGTCAATGTTTGTAACCTGTTCTCAGATTTAATATCTTGAAGTGATAGCTAAATATCAATGGCTTAAAGAGGGACTGATCAATGGTTTAATGCCAGGTCATTCCCAGGTAAAAGGAGGGTCAGTAGATAAGTTCCACCATACAGACTATAGTAATTGTTGTATAGGTATTGGTTTATTTTTCAATAAATGTAAAATTATAAAATTATTGTTTAGTGAATTTACTTCCTTACTTTGGCCAAAATATTTCATTAGGTACATAAATTATTTTTTCTATTAAATCGCACAGTAGTTCTCACTACTATTATACCGTGACCTATGGTGACTTGCATTCCAATTAAATTTACAGTACATAAGCACTTGCAATTTTTTAAACATTTTAAACAGGGATATAACATTTTACTGCAGTACCAACAGTTTGCCCATACTTTTGTCATGTCTGCAATATGATTTAGAATATTTCAATTGAGGTTGACTGAATTGTAGGTACAACTGCCTACAACCATAGAATAAATAAACACCATTAATATATTTACTTCATCTATGCTACAACTATGTTTGCACCAACATTCTTGGGTCCCAGAATGTGCAACCCAACTCTTGTACAGTACAAAGGTAGTTTGTGTAATTAGTGCAAATGTAATGAATCAAGATGGATAATTGAACACTCTATCTATAGGGGTTTAAAATATTTTATAAATATTTACAATTTAGAAAGATTATGAAATAAAATAATAAAGTAATAATTTCCGAGTTTTACCTTTCAATTGAGTAAACTAACTATAGGTAATTTTCTGTTAAAGCACAATTTCTTAACAATTCAATCAAAGGAGATTTAAACGATGGGATTTACTGATTGCTTTTACAACAGTAGGCCTGAATTCTACTACAGTAATGCATTATTACTAAAACCATTCTTATAACCCACCTTAAAAATAGCCCTGCTTTTTATCATAGGTGTTTCAGATTTTCATTGGATGCTAGGTTTCCTAAGTCCTAAATGTGTCGGGTTGCCCAGGCCCAAACAAACGTCTAAACGTCTTCCTAGTTCCAAACAACGGGAACAGCTGATTAAACTAGAGTCCCCACCACTCCCCACTGCTTGCGGCGGCCATCTTGTTTCCTGACAGTACAGTTCTCTTCTCTCTGTCTTCGAAGACACGGTCGGTCACGTCACCTGTACAGTAGTAGTGTCAGTGAAGTTAGTGTTCGTGCATTTCAGTTTTAACTATTAGTGAAGTGAAGTGTGCACTCAGACAATGCATCCTAGGTGACAACATATCTGTGTGAAGTATAGCTTATCCAAATAAACATGGGGTCCAAAGTGGAATACGTGGACTCCTCTCACATGTACGCTACCAACTACGTGCGAAACTCGAAGGCTATCGGAGTGTTATGGGGTATTTTCACCATCTGCTACGCTATCATAGCCGTGGTCGCCTTCGTCACCCCGGAATGGATGGGTGATACGATGCAAGGGTCAGAAAACCCCGCTAGGTTTGGTCTGTGGAGCAGTTGCTCCTTTGGAAATTCCGTAGGAGTGGTCGAGGATTGTCAAGGTCGTTTGGATGACCTTTCTTCCATACCGAGTCTCCCAGGGAAGGTAGCTACCATCCTGGCCGCCTTATCAGTCCTGGTTGCTCTTATCACTATTGTGGCGATGCTCTTGTTCTTCTTCATCGCCTCTACCAAAGTCTTCCACCTCTGCGGTTGGATGCAAGTTATTTCAGGTTGGTGAAAATTTTATCTAGATAAACTAAGGTGCGTTTGGTGTAAAATAGAAATTTCCAGTGTGGGAGCAATTTTGATGAAATTCTTGGAAAAGAAAAACTCAGTACAATACGTTTTATCAACAGAATCATAAAAATAGCGTAATATGATTGATCCAGTACCTGGTGCTTTATGCAATGGTGTGCATATTAATCCAACATCCCTTATCAGATGTCATGCTACAGGAAAGGTTATAAAGTGTGTTTTTTGTGTGAAATGTTAGTTATTGTATGAGATAAATTAGCAAAAACACAATTTTACACATCAGGAAGAACCAGCACGTAGGGTGGGACCAACGATGTGGGTGGGACGTACAAATGTTTACCCTTTTTGAAATGTTATCTACAAAACCATTGAGCGTACAATATTGCTTCAATAAAATAAATTAGTTGCTGTTTTAAGCTTGATAAAATTATTTAAAGAGAAATCTACAAAATTTTATATTTTTATGAGGTTTAAAATTGAGAAAAGGAATTCATCATGGAATGGCCTCTGGATCGTCTGAATCAAATATATATCGGCCTAGTGGTTGAAATTGCCATGTTACTACTGTCAAAAACGATCCTGGGAAAAGGGGTTTTTACACCATAACTAAAAACCCCATAACAACAAACAACGTTTCCATTACTTAGTCCAACCAGGAAAGGTTCCCGAAAGATTTTGATTAAAATTTAGTATGTTATGGTCCTTTTAACTCACAAAATTGTACTACCCCCATAGCTAAAAAAAATACTGTTGAGAAGTCGCTATAACTATTGTGATTTTGCTCATAAACTACCATTTACTCCCGCCGTTTGACAATGATTGGGGTTGTTGACAATCTGATGGGAGAAAGTAAGTGTCACTTTGCTGATACCGTTATTTATGACTGTAATCCTCACTCCTTCATATTGTTTATTTATAAATCTAAAAGCAATAAATGAAATGTATTGTAAATTAGTAGCATACATAGGTAGTTTAATTCACCTAATAACTGTCTCAAACAAACATAATATTTGAAAAGTAAAAGGGTTGGCCTATCGCACTAATCTTACCTGGGAATAGAACCCTGAGCTTGGGCTTGGGTCCCATCTTCTTCATAGCCCCTATACATATACAAATATTATTTTTTTTAATGTCCTTGAATAATGCATAGTATCCTGTTAAAGTTTTTAGAACTTGCATAATTTCCTTTAAACGATTAGTTGGCTAAAAGTTATTATTAATACAACAACGTTCGAATGATCAGTAGGCCTAATGCCGTTAAGTTTTTAAACTACATTCCAAGATTTGAAAACAAATCCTAACAATTAAAAAGAAAACACTCTTCTTGCAAAATATTACTTCCTACACTACAATCATATAAGTTATTTAGACAACTATTTCTGTCATTTGGAATACTTTTAATTGTTTTACCCGACTAGTTTTCCATTCAAAGCTTTTCTTCATGACCCAGATCATTGCATGGTTACAATCCATTGAAAAGCAATGAGGGAAAGTCGACAGTACACTAGGATGGGCTTCTTTTCTTGCCTCAGTGCTATTCACAGAGTAGACAAGAGATGACGAAGAAAGGGGGGGAGTGAGAGAGAGGGAGAGAGATGGGTGACCCAGGAACCTAGAACAGTCAGTCGGCCACATTACGCTCGCGGCATTTCTACCTGGTGTAACGGCACACCGCCCAGTGTTGCCAAATCGAACACCTCACACAATTCTTTAAAATCTGTCCCACCTTCACCTGACGGTACTCGGCTGGCAGGCCCGTTTTTGACTATGTCAGCGCCCTAGGCACAACTAAAATACTAGCGCCCCTTTGCAATATATATAACAGGGTGACTACCTACCGGGAAATCTGGGAATTAAGCGTGAATTTTTTTTAACCCGGAATTATGCGTGAATTTTGTATTTCTACCTGGAATTGTCAATTTACCGCAATGGCGCATGACAACAGCGACGTTTCCGTGACCACGGGAAACGATAATATGTCTCCACAAGGCCGCGAGGGATGATCAGAACTTTGCCGCGATCGCATGAGAGACTATGATAATGTCTACACGACCGCGGGATATGATCATGATTTTACCGCGATCGCGCAATACGATAATGAGATCTACAGAGCCGTGAAGGATGGTCAAAATATTGCCGCGATCGCATGAGGCGATGGTAATGTCTAAACGACCGCGGGATATGATCATGATTTTCCGCGATCGCGCAATATGATAATGAGATCTACAGAGCCGTGAAGGATGGTCAGAATATTGCCGCGATCGCATGACACGATGATAATGTCTAAACGACCGCGGGATATGATCATGATTTTACCGCAGTCGCGCAAAACGATAATAAGATATACAGATCTGCGATGGATGATCAGAATATTGCCGCGATCACAGAAGACGAAGATAATGTCCACACAACCACGGGAAACAGTCAGAAATTTGCCACAATCGGGGAAGACGATAATGATCTCCACATGACTGCAGGATATTATTAACACTTTGCCGTAATCGCGGGAGACGATTACGATGTCTTCACGACAGCGGGAGACGATTACGATGTCTACAGGATCGTGGGAGTTACAATAATGATGGCTACTCTACAAGGCTGCGAGGGATGATCAGAATTTAACCGCGATCACGTAAGACGATGTTAATGTCCACTCCACCACAGGAAAGATCAGAATTTGGCCTCATTCGCAAAAGACGACGAAGACCTCCAAACGACCGCGGGAGATGAGTACCATTTGCCACAATGGCGGGAGGGGATCACAATGCCTCACGACCGCGGGAGGCGATGATGTCTTCATAGCTGTGAGGGATTATCAGAATTTTATCGTGATCACGCAAGAAGATGATAATGTCCACACAACCCCGGGAAAAGATAAGAATTTTGCTTCATTCGCGGTAGACGGTGATAATCTCCTCACGACCGCGGGATGTGTTCATATATTGCCGCGATCAAGGAAGACGACAATTATGCTGTCCACACGTCCGCCGAAAATAGTCAGAATTTTGCCGTGATCGCGGGAGACGGACGATGATGACGTATACACAACCACAGAAAAAATTAACATCTTGCCACAATTGCGGGAGACTGTTAAGATGTCTACACGGCCGCGAGGGATTATCAGTTCACCGCGATCACGTGCAAATACAGCCACAATTTTTGTTATTTTCCAATTTTTTGGCGCCCCCCAAAAATGACAATTGCCTCGCGCCCTAGGCACGTGCCTACCGTGCCTATTCGGTAAATCGGCCCTGTCGGCTGGGCTGAGAACACATTCCAGTTCCCATTCCTTTAGCACGGAACTGGAACTAACTTGAGACAGACTAACCAACAAGCATGTTTAATCTATGCTTCATGGTACTCAAATAATTACTCAATTATTGTGACGACCTTCAATATCGGTGAACTTGTGAAAATATGCATATTATCCTGTATTGAGAAGTGAATTTCGAGGTCAACCCTTAAAAATATATAGATCATGTGCCGATACCGATTCCAATCCTTAAAATATGTTATAAACTTACTGACAGTAGAGAGGAATCACGTCAGTCCGGATAGTTCGTGGTTCTGGATCAGTGCCCCGCCCCGATTGAGGAATCTCCCGCGATCTCGAAAATATCATTGAAATCGTGATCGTCTATTGCGTCCGAAGTAGCCTAACATCGTGATAATCTCCCTTGCAATTGCGGTGACATCGGTCATCTTCAGCAATTACGACCACATAAATGATCGCTCTCGCGATCGACATCGTGTTAAGTGCTAAATGTACAACTAAGTTACTTCCTCTTCCATTCCTCCAATATGTTTAGTATCTTCATACTATATTATTGTAGTTAGATCCTGGTGAAATTGTAGATTTCACTTTTCTAGAGTTTCGAGCAACATCTCTATATAGAAAAGGAGAGGAAACCACCAAGGCGACGAATGAATTGGAATCTCGCCGATCGAGTAGAGAAATCGGGGATAGTTTTGTCATCTGTTTTTGCTGTCTAATTCTTGTATTTTTTTGCACTGTAGGCCTGCCGTTGCTTTTTATAGGTTTTCTTCCGTATCCTTTTGTATAAACAGTACCGAAGCTATAATTGCATTATTTATATTTATTTAATAGACCTTTTGTCTGCAAAAATGCACCTCTCACTTAAAATCTGCAAATTTTGCCCGTTTTTTTGTGAGGTGATTTTATTTGATTATTTTCAGGCAAACCCATTTACTACTTAAATATAATTTAATTCTTTCGCGTTTGTTCTCAACTACATTGACATAGAGTTTTTAAATACTATATACTATAGTTCTTTTCTTAAACAACTCATACGTATGAGGGTAGTAAGATAGCCCCGAGTAGTAGACCATCCACTTGTCCACCATTTGTATAATAATAGGCCTACAGTAATTTCATAACTAAAGCATAACACACTTTTTACAGCTTTCAATAATATGTTAAATTTTTGTTGGTTATTATTATATTGTTATAGTTAGTTAGGCTATCTTTATGTTGTAATTTTTCTTTGCGGGAATTATTGAGGTTTGTTTAAGATACTTGATCTGCCATCCTTGCTGGAAAAATTCGAAGGTATTGATATTCTTTGGCAAGATGACAAAATGGATAATTCGCCGATTTAGGACACCACCAAGTTGTTATTCATAGTTTCCAATCGTTGCCAGCAAGCTGCTTTGTTTGCTCCGTTGATTAAGTTTCGTCATCAATAGTTGCGTAATCTTAAGAAGTCATTAGTCCTTTACCACGCCTGTTATGTATTGTAAAGACAAATCACGTAATTGCTTGTTACTTGTGAAATTACAATATTACAGTGACGTTCTTCCTACATTCCTATTTCCACTTGAGCCGTTGAATTATTGACCAATTTAGGATAGGTAATGTAATTATAAATTATAGATAATTTGGCCGATTGATCCGGCATCTGCTCTGTCTAACAGTAGGCTGTTTGTTTGTACCGGTTATTATAAACAAAATATT